AAGATGTCTAAGTTTAATGTAAGCAATCAATCAAATAATTATTTATTTTTTCCGTTATTTATTAATACAATAATATAATATACATCTTATTAGCCACTTCTTATATTATTAAGAAGCTGATCTTATCCAGCAGATTTGGAATTTAAGTAGATGTGTAAAAATAACAAGCACGGTTTATTATCTACACTAGGGATTTTTGTAACTCATAAAACAGATTGACATATAAAATTAAGAATAAAAAAATAGCTATTATTCGTCACGAAATAGCAGTGAATAAAAGTCTAAAGTACCAACCCTCAAGGGATATTTTAGATGGTTTTATTTTAAAGATATATATGAATAAATTATATAATAAATAGATATGTAAAATAGTTATATTCTGACAAAGTCTTGACAGCCATTATTAAGATATTGATCAGGATTCTCTACCCATCGTAGCATCACATACCAAGACCTACCACCAATTAATCTGTATCCATTTTGTTGCAATAAATTTACCACATAGTCGTATAGTCTGTAAGTTAAAAGTGACTTCTTGGATTCCGCCCACAATTTAGGACTATTAGAATGCCAAGATAAACGTTTAGACTTATAGTCAATATAATCATAACCAGAAGGACGATTTACCTTTTGAGGAGTTATGCCTAAAAACTTCTTATCATTGGGGTAATCATCCGTTTTTAAAGCGTTCCAAACTTGAGTGGCTAATGACTCAGGTCTATTCTTGTAATTTCTCCAGGCTCTTTGTATAATCCTTGCTTTTCCGAAATCGGTCTTTGGTTTATCACATTCATTATCCCAATGACTGATCATCAATTCGCTAGGTTTAAGATAATCAACATATCTCTGCCTAGAATAATGGAATGTTTTTTTAGGCTGTACATCATCGATTTTTATGAGTTTCCAGCAACCAAAACAAATAGCCATATGACTTTTGTGGATTCTTGGCCTATAATAATTGAAATTATTAAATTTACCTTTACCAAATGATGCGAATAAACATAACTGGTGATATACACTAAATTTTCCAGCATTTAATAAATTCTGTAAAGGTACTCTCACCCGTATTGCCCATTGAACTGGTGTTTCATTCTGTTTTATGATAGATAAAGTATCAAATAATCTCTCATTATCGAAGAGTTCGTCGTATCGTTTTCCATCAAAAGCAAAATAATTTCCAATATATGACACGACATATTTCATATCATATCCAGGACGAATGTTAAAGGGTTTGGGTAATGTTCTATCTTTCTTATCGAGAATAGTTGCAATATCAAAACCAGACATATTTATCAATTATAATTTATAGTGATTATATTATAAGACTTATTTCGATGTGATTATAGTGCGTTTTAACAATTATGTACTTTGTTGTGTATTTAGGGTTTAGACCTATTATTTTATCAACTATAACTATATGTATATCACGATTCATTTTTTGTTCGATATAATGATAGACCCAGGTTTATTTTTCGTGAAAGAAATAAATAACGATTCATAATTATTTGAGTCTTTGTTCCACAAGATTATTTCTGTGACACCGCTAAATTATTTTCTCACTATATATATATATATGAATTAATTAATAAAACCTTTTCCTTACTGTAAATAGCTTTTCCGATAAGAAAAAATACAAATGAAACTCAAAAAGGATATGAATGAGGAGAGTTTATTGTTCTTTATCAGCAATAATATCAAAATTCATATATTACAGAACTTGAGATCCGAGATTGCCAAAATTTGTCTTATTTTTTATTCTAGAAAGCAATTGTCAGACTGAAAGGTTTAATTTTCGCTGTAAATGATGGAATATACTCAGTGTTTGGCATCTATGTCATATTGGAATTGATTTATGGGGGTAGAGATCTGAAAAATGGTCGGGTAACTTAATTGCTAATGTATTTTTTCTTTTAGAAGGTTCTCAGATTTAGCGGAATGAAACAATATAAATAAACCGGATTTGTGAGGTGGATTAGCAATAACATTGCTCTTATATTTTTTATTGAAAAAGGCATATATATCCACGATTCATTTTCAAGGTATTGTTTCGACCTACAATTGTTTGCAAGGATGACTATGAAAGCGAAACTACTTATTATGAATTTTTATATGTAGGAATGCAAAAATGAGCAGTACTAATGATCCTGATAAACCAAAATCATCTATATTAAAATCGCCTACAAGGTGTGGATTTCTCTCAGTTGAAGTTGGTAAACAAATCCTTTTATTAGCTTCGTTAATAAAAACACGAATAATATGTTGCACTAATATTTTTTTTATGTAGTAGAACCAAGATCTTTGCTAGATGGAATATACATCAGTTTTTGTGTTGGTGATAATGATAATTTTTGTCTAGATACACAAGAACTAAAAGAAAGTCTCGAGTCATAAGTTGCGTGATTTTCCTAATTGTTTCAACCACAAAGTGAAACATGGATGAGATATGTAAAAAAAAAAGCCACTTTCTTAGCTACAGAGTAACCTCACTTCCACAATTCCATATAATTATAGTGAAATTACTAATGCAATAAAGGGGTTATATCTAAATATCGATAACCAAAGAGTCAATCTTGATAATATTATTGGAAATCCGGGACGTCATTAATATCATTAGAAACCAGAACAAAAACAGTAGAGTTATGACTAAATAAGTCGGTGTTGATTCTGGTGGAGAAACTTACTTTGCTAGTGCTGAATAATTGCTCTGTATTAAAATTATAATGGATATATGTTATATATTTTAATAAAGTTTCACATCTAAATTAGTATTGGGACTTTTTATCTTGGTCACTTCGCCTTCGAAAACCTAAATCCTTAGCTCATCAGAAAATCAATCTCCAAACAAATTTTTCCCAATACTGATCCACACTAATGAAATGGCTTATGTGTAAAAAATTTTTTTTCCAATACATAAATAAAAGTTAAAAAAAATGTAAATTGTTATGATGCAAATAAGCTTCTGTATATATGTCCTGGTGATCCATGCAAATATCAATAGACCAAGCCCATCTGTACTATTATAGATTTTGTTATAATTGGATTAGGTATCATTATTGTTTTGGCCGATCCAAGTATAGACTCTGCTAAAATAATCCACACACAGTCATTAACAGATTTATCGCTTGGATGGTCCATTTGTGAGACTCAATATTATCAGAAAGCAATTCTATGATAATAATGCACAAATATCGTGAGGATTAATCTGGCACCATTCATGACCAATTTTCAGCTACAGGACATCATCAAAAATTTATATTTTTCCGATGCACAGTTACACACACTATACCACACCGCATACAGGCATATGTATATAAAGGAGATAAGGCGAAGCTCTATTGTTTTTCAAAGCCATGCAAGCTACAACTATGTATTAAAAGATAAAAATAATTTGCAAGCTGAGTTAAATCCATTATATAAAGCATTTTTTCTAACCTAATTCCAACATCAATATGTATGTATTCATTTTGAAATCTTTTGCTTTTTAGGTCGATTCGGTGTCGATTGGTTCTGTTTTATTGTATGTACTTTTCGCTTTGTAAGCAACTTTTGTTTTTGTTCAATGTATGGACTTCTCTTTTCAATATTTTCTTTCATGAAAGACTGAGCATAAACCGGTGTTAGTAAAAAGCAGTGAATAAATGGACAAAACTTTGTTATACTCACAAAAAATTTAAGACATGTTATAATCGCTTCGCAAAGAATGGGGATATCCTGCCAAATTGCAGGGATCTTGAAAGTTCCATATTCACGAAGACAATATGACTTCTGGTGTATTGTTAACCAAAACAAAGACACTTCAGTGCGATGGCCAAAAGCACTGAAACTTGCAAGGTCTTTGTGATCATATATTCCGTCTTTAAAGCGAAGAATTATTAGTTGGTTTAACACATCTCGCATTGTTCTGACCAATTTATAATCGTGAATGTGTAATTGAGTAATATCATCAAAGTCCGGAGGTCCTGTCTGTTCATATAGGAACACTTCTTCACGGCTTCGCCAGAGACAAGCAAGCCCATCTGCACACTTTGCTTCTAAAACTTTATCAACGATTGGATTTATGTTTGCATTACAACGATCTTTGCTACTTTCTACTGGGACTTCAAGACTATAACAGTGTAATTTCACAAAGTTAACCACCGCAAATGAACATTTTTCTAGGGTGGATAATCAGAACTTACATTCTCCAGTCAATGTTACATATAGTCTTCAGTGTATTCTCTAATATCGGACTTATAAACTGTGCATTGTACTGATTTTCTCGAAGGTCACCCGACTTTAGTATGTTGTGTGGTGCTTCAAAAGCTTTGATACTAAAAAGAATTCAAAATCATGATATTATAACATTCTACTTGCAATTAGTGTTGGTTGCCAAAACTATTTTGAAGAAGTGAAAGTCAAAACTAAAATTAAAAGTTATATGTCAAAACTAAATCGAAAGTAAATAGTCAAAAATCAAAACTAGTTTCGACTTATGGCGAAACCTTTTGATTTTCGCACGGTTGCGAAACTCTCTAATTTTGGAAATCAACACTAATTCCTTTCAAACTAAAATTCTCCTTTAACATATTATTTACTGCACAACAACTGAAGAAGAAGGTGCGTTTTATTTTTCAGCATCGAAAGGATAATACTTTTCGACAACATTTCATGGATTCTATGAAATATCCACATACACCGAAGCAATTGCATATGCTTTCCTAAAAGTGTTCTGTATTGCTTTTAGATGTATTTGCGAAGATATATCAAGCACAAAATCAGTATTATTTGATTACTAAAACTTCATATAATGTATTAACTCGTACAAATTACCTTATTTAGTTTACAAAATAACCGATTGTCATTCCAAAGGTTTTGTTACTTATAGGAAACCATCTACAAACATTTTTTGCGATCACATATATTGTGATTATACTAACTATACTAATTTGAATAATTGTAGTGCATATACTCACGTGTGGACATGGTTATTATAATCATTGTCTACAAAAGTGCCAATCTAAATGTTTGATATCTTTGACTATCTTCAATTCGAAATCAAAAAAAAAAGTCAACTAAAAGAAAGTATGACGAAAAGATTAAACATAAATGAGTTTATCGAAAATATCAAAAATATCAAAAATACAGTTGATGATGACCTGGGTAACGTTGAATCAGCGATAAATGATGCAACAATGGAAATTTTATTAGAACATGCAAAAAAAACATTTTTTTGGGTTGTAAATTTTGTTTTTATTAAATAAATTTGTTTGATTTTTTCATATATCATTCATGTTTTGTCTTAATCATATATCTTAAATATTGGTTGTGTTTAAAATCATTTTGTCGACATTCATTATATTAAGGTTATTTTGATTATATTGAGAGATATGATCAAGAGAAGAGTTAGGAAGAGAGTTATTCTTCAACCAAGTCGAAAACCAACCCTTTAAATACATTTTCGAGTAGTACAATTTAATTTATTAGACTATTTCAAAGGTTTGTCACATAGTTGCTTCCAACTTCTTAAATTCAAACCATTCGTTAACGAAACAATTGTTGGTGAAGTGATTGTTGACGAAATGAATCAAACCAACATTTATTTTTTATTTTACATTATCAAATTCACGATTTTGATTGGCCAATTGGTCAATCAATAGTTTGCATTCTCCTGTTCGCTTATGATTGAATTTATATATATATATATTTTATTTTAAGTAGAATAAAATTCAACGCGAAATATTAAAATTAAATTATAAAAAATCAAGATGTACATCGCAATATAACAATGCGTTGTGCAATGGTACTCGTTTTACATCGCATCAACGTACGAAAACATTCATAATGACTGTTACAACGAGTATCATTACCAATAGCAATTTGAATGTATTTACCATATGTGTATTTTTGTATTGAACGTAATTTTCCAATAAAATATTTATTAAGTGATGATTTAAAATATATACATATTTAAAAAATAATAAATACAACATTCACCCTTAATGCTACATTTGATTTAATATGCATATCCAAGACTTGATGAGACAGTATCAATCATTTGTTGGAAAGTCCATCTTGTATACACCCTAAATAGGCAAATAACTTATTATTGTATTGATGTTACTAATTGATATAATAATAATAAATATTTTTATTTATTAGGTAGAGTATGTGTTCCAGTAACTTGTGGTAATTTTAATTCATTAGATGTTTCAACAGTCATAGTGTTGATTCAAGAAATGGATCAATCATGTCCAGAAGACAGAGGAAGGAAAACTCATAATAGTAATTAAATTAGAAATTGGAAATTAAAGATTATAGAGGGACATATATATGTATTTTTCTTTACCATTAATTGAATTTTCAAAAGATCATGAAAAAGCTTCATTATAAAATATTTTGATAATTTTGTTCAAAATACCCTGAAAGAAACCAGAACTAAACAAAGAGGTAATGGTAATAAACATCAATTTTTATTTTTATAAAGTTTTTTGCTAATTATTCACAATTGTTATTTCGCATTAATATATATAATAAATTAGCTAAAAAACAAGCATAAATGGAATTTTAATAATCTTTACCAATAGTCACAAAGTCATAAACAGAAAATGAGAAGTTTAAAATTTTATGTTTTAATATAGATTGTATTGGAATTTACACATTATGTATATATTCGGAAAATAAATACAGTAAATCAAATATTTACTTTTATTTAATTCATAATCCAAAGAATATGAATTGATCTTTTTTGTTTCTATTAAACACGAATCCAGGTGATTGGTTCAAAGTTAATATCGTTATGAGATTATAAACTGAGTAATAATAGCGGAAAATAATTGTACAAACCTTCTTAAAGTTTTTTTATCTGAAAAAGAATCCTTCTGATATTAATATGAAGGTTTATGAATTTTAAATTTCATTTTAAACCATGTACTTTGTGTATATATCCATTATCAAAAACTGATAAAAGAAGACCTTTGGTATCTAATTTTTGGTGTACGTTTTGAACATGAATAAATTGTACGAGATAAACGCATTTTGTATTTGTAATTTAAAAGCTCAATAATAATAAAATTCAAAGTAATTCTAACCTAAATTACCCGTTCTGGGGATAATAATGGCATAAGTCGAAAGTTCATTATTATTGAAATTAAAATAAGTATAAATATGTCATTTTTTTTTATAAAAAACGTGCTACGGGTTTAAATATTAATATATATTTTACGGGCGTGAATTTCAAATTTTGATTATTTTGGCTCTTCCCTTTATTCCTCTCTGTAATAAACATTGCTATTATCAAACAACATCAAATAGGTTTGTTCCTTTAATCTGTGTTCACTATGCTCAAACTTCTTACTTAACACGTACCTCATTACATTCAGACCATTGTCAAATAGCCCTTGGAAAAAAAAATTTCCTGTTGGCAGCCGGCATTTAGTGATAATAACCTGTTTTCAGTGATTTATTGATTAGAAGTTACTAACAATGATATCTGTACTATTAATGAAGAAGGGTAAGGATAGTCATAAGCTCCATAAGCAAAATAATATAATTGTAGTTGCTAAGAAATAATAGTAATAGGTTCAAGTTTTCAAGTTGAGCTCGAACCATTGATGTTACATAAATAGAATGAATGATTTAATTTTGCTATTTCATAATTTATGTAAATTACTAAAAAACAATTTGAGTGCCTATTTTCTTGAACTTGAAAATTCAAGTTTTAACTCGAGCCCGCTCAATTTAAAGTTTCTATTCAAACAAATGAATAAAAACGAACAATTCAAATAAACGAATAAATAATAATATGACTAATAAGATAAGACAAATAAAGCCAAATAAAACCGAACAAACCGAACAAACCGAATAAAATCAGTAATAGGTCTATGAAATTGTATCATATGTTGCACCTGAGCTACTTGGAGGAAAAAAGTACACAAAAGAATCTGATATCTATAGCATTGGGATGTTAATGTGGGAAATATTTGCAGGTCATCCACCATTTGATGATAGAGCTCATGATCATTGTTTAATTTTTGATATGTGTGAAGAAGGTTTACGACCACCAATATTACCAGGAATGCCTGACGATTACTCACAAATGATGCAGAAATGTTGGGATGTGGATCCATCAAAAAGACCAACTAGTAGAGAGCTTTTTGACTTTGCTTATGACAAACATAAGGAAATTCGTGGTAATGATTGTAGCAGCAGCAGCAGCAGTGGTGGTGTTGGTGTTAGTGATTTGCAACAAGTACACAAATCACATCCAGATGCATACCATACAAGTAGAATATTAGATGATGAGATTGCTAGATCAAAATGCTTTAAAAGTTATACAATTAATGATAATTTGTTAGATTTTGGCTTTCTTGGTTAACAAAGGTGAATAAAAATTCCATATTAATTAATTGGAAATTACTATCCATTAATTATTACTAACAGTTTGATTGATTAATAAGCATTAGATTCTAGTGATTAAAAGAAAGAATTGATGTGACTAATTTAATCTCCACTATAATTTATTTATTCATTATAACTATTTATATTTTTATTTTATTTTTCTAAATTATAATATTTCTTATAATAAACTTTTTACAGTTTTCTAGTTCTTGTTAAATGGTGACATTGCAAGGCAAGGCAGTCTTTTGGTTAATGCTGATTACAGCTTAACTTTTGGGTTACTCTTGGTCAGTTAATTAATTGCAAGCAACCCACAATAATTTGATGCTTATCAATTAATTGGTTTACAAATTTACTCTGGTCCTCACTTACTGCCTCTTTCTTGTATGTGAATCTGTAAGCACTTTAATTAAGCTCCGAACAAGCTGAGCCGAGTTTATGCTTAGCTTGAGCTTGACTCGACTTGAATCAAGGTTGGGTGCTGAAAATATTTTGGTGTAAAAAATATTTTGTCAAACGGGATACATCTGACAAATGTGATGAAATATGATGAAAATAAGGTTGTGGGCGAAACCTCCTTAGTAATTGCTGAAACCACAGCAAAGCTATATTAAATCTTATCAAAAATCCTGTTGAAACTATGCCGAAATGGCAAAACCTCAAAATGCGAAACTCTGCCGAAACTCTAATAAACAATTAACGTGTAACCTGCCGAAACCCTTTCTGGATGAGTTTTGGCAAGCAACCTTAAATGAAAATGATGAAAATGACAAAAGGCAAAAGTCAAAAGTTAAAATCAATTGATTTTCTCTTTGGTCGATTAGAACAGTGCTTTCATAAAAGTTTGACAAAAGAGATTGGGCATTTTATTTTTGTTTATTTCATTGTTTTGTTGATTGTTAATTTCATTCAAATAAAAATGAGCAATAGAATAACGACATCCAGGGCTAAATGAGCCTTGAGTTTAAAAGGTGTTCTATGATTCCAGGTTTTTGGACAATATTTGCAAAATGCTGAGTAATGTCCTTTTCCTTTTTTTCATGCATCCGACGCAGGACATCTTGGAGCCAATTCTTGATTATTGTTAAATGAATTTTCCCAAGTTTAATTCATATTATATGATGACATCTTGAACCAAAAATTTAAAATCCACAAAATAATTGTTTATTTATTGTCATTATGTCGAATTCCTCAAAGCGTAGAAATTCTATTTTGTTACATTTACTTTCATCATGTGATGAAAAGGAGACATTCGTCGCCTAACCTTGAGTTAAATTCGTGAGTTTGAAACTCAAGCCTCGAGTCAACTCGATAAAATCACGATTTGAAAATAATTGAAGCAATAATGAACTGTATACTAATAACATGCTTGAATTTTAGAACATTTAAATCATCATAAATAATTTTACAACAGACTAAAAATTTCAAATGAGAACAATTCTGTGTTTTAATATTTGTTTCTAATAAAATTTTTTTTTAGATTCTGAAATATCACCAATCACGTTTATAGTAACGCGAATTTGATTTTATTATTATTATTATTATTATTATTATTATTATTATTCGAATTATTCGTTTTATTGGTTTTGTTCGTTTTGTTTATTCTTTTTATTCTAATTATTCATTTTTTTATTCACTTATTCAAATCACCCGGACCATTCTCTTTATTTGTTTATTCGAATCATTTGTTTATTCATTTATTCAAATCATTCGAATCATTCTTTTCTCGCTTAATTTTTTAAGTTGGCAGACTCGAGTTAAAGCTTGAATTTTCAAGCTCGAGCTGAGTTCAAGGAAATAGTCCCTTAAATTGCTTTTTAGGTTATTATAATCACTGACAAAAAATTTAGTTTATACATGAGTTTGACCCAGATGCGGTAGTAACCTATATATGAAGTTTGCGAGGTCCTCCAGAAAGAGTACGGGAAAATTATTTATTACACGCAAAAGGAAATAATATAAATAGTTATGTAAATGAATAATTATAAATAAACAACTAGTTGTAACCCTTGTTTCACACCTAAATTCAACACATGTGCTGCACAACGATAATGTGAAAAATTCATTAATTAGAGTTCAATATTAAGGGCATTTGCAATTTCTCTTCCACATCCAACCATTAAAGATCCATTGTCAGTAGTTAATGCAATGATTTTATTAGAGATGTTGAATTCATCTAAAACATGTACAATTTCTTGTGCAATGTTTTTTCCAGTATGTCTATTAGTAAAGAAATGATGTCAAGGAGAAAGCTACAGAGATGCCAGTTTGAATTTATATAATGTATAGTAATTCCTAAATAAGCTTCCTGGTTCATAGAAGTCCACATGTCAGCTGTCAATGAACACTGCCCCTCAATTTGATCAAGATCATTATAATTTTGGTCCTTCTGGTATTGAATGCATTGGTTATAATGTCTTTTATTTGAGGTCTTTCAGGAACAATATAACGAGGACAGAAGTAATTGATGAATTTGCTGAAATAAGTGTTGTTAACAACAGTAAATGGCTGAGGTCACAAATTATCCATTGAGCAAGATATTTAGTATGTTCATTTTGTTCCTGCTGATTAAAAGGATCCATTCTGGTCATAGTACTCTGTTTCTTGGGAGGTGCATATAATTGATGTTGCCTGAGGTGTTTACAAAGGGTTGTCACACTTGTTGTTAATTCATACTTTGTTGAACATGTTTTACAAACATTATGTTCAGGTGCAAAGGATGGCCGTTTGTAAAAATATTTCCACACAGTACTTTCTTTTGATGAGGTAGAAGCATCTGATGTTTCCGACTGCACATCAGTAAAGACATGACTAATTGATTCA